TGGCGAAAGGTCATATATGCAAATTAGTTCAAATTCTGTTTAATAAACCTTCGAAAGGAGTGTAAACTAGAGACGTTTTAAACTAGGGTGCATATTATACAGGTCACGCATTATACACGGGTAAATATGGTAAATATTGATTATGACTGTATGTAAATTAAGCACCTTGCTAATATATTTTTTTTTCACATACCCAACATATTTAATGGCACTCAAAATTGTGCATCTAATGTTTTGAGAGGTGTACACATCTAATATTAACAAAGGGTTACTATATTGCACAGTGGCAGATTTGCAAGTAGTTATTGTGGTACTTATTTTAAATCAAGCGTTCAGTGGAACAATTGGTAAGAAGACTGAACAATCAGTAACAAGATGGAATGTCAATCATTTGAGAACAGGTCTGAACAATCTGTAACAAGGCAGAAACGTCAATAACATGACGGAATAATCAGTGAAACAAGACCGAACAATCACTAACAAGAAAAAACAATTGTTAACAAATGGCAGGTGGTTATCTACTATTTTTGGTATATTTTTTTCTGTCCTAAATTTATAACCAACGACATTACATACATGTATTTCAATAACTATTGTTGATCTTCTTCTGCAGTTGCAAGTGAAATTAGAGTTTGTCTGTGCTAATTTTATAATTTAATAATGAAAAGTAGGTACTTAACCTAAGCGTGTTTTTGAGTGCGCATTTTGTCACTTTTGGTACATCATTTTGTGTTTGTAACTAGTATTTACTGGTCAAAGTTCTTCAGGTTTTACAAATACTTGCATTTCCTGAAAGTAAAATATTTATGAATCCTGAAGAACCTTAAAATTTATGAACTTGTAAGCTAAACTTGAGCAACAAATAATGAAAATATGTTTTCAGAACACACAAGCATGCTATCATTACATTCAAGAAAATGTAATTTTTTTGTGATAGAAATTTTGTTATGTACACTGGCATATATGTTTTTGTTTTCAATAACTAAAACTTATTTTTTGTAATCTTTGTACTACACTGTAGGTATGGGAAAACAGACATTTCTTCAAAGATGAGGTGAGTGATTTTTTTTTCTTTCATTTCTTTCTGTTAGTGATGGGTTTCAAGAAAGAACCCTTTATCATCCAAAGTTTACATTCACCACATTAAAAATAACCTGCGTATTGCATTATTGTGTGTTATATCTGGCTTGTTTTTGGACACTGGCTAAAATTTTGTAGACCTCCACTGTATATATTAACTAAGTTCCAAATTTGTAGTTTATTAATGATTATAATTTTTGTGCCTACTCAAAACAATGTGGCATTATCCTATTCTTTGTGTATAATGAAATTTGGAAGCTTGCCTCTCCCCTCCCCTCCCACAGGCATGCATGTGACAGATTATTACAGCTTGGTCATCCAATTTTGGTATGGACACATTGATCAAAAGAAATTGGTCAAGTCACAAGACAAGAGTCAGGGATGAGAAAGAATACCTCAAAGTGAGGGGGTTTGAGTACACTGACACTCACTCCTGAAATCCCCAGAAAACCCTTGGGATTTCAAAATTTTATTCCAGGACCCTGGAAAACTTCATGAAAATTCTTGTTTCCCACTTACTCCTAGGAATCTCCTGGAATTTTCAGTTGTAATGAAATTGCTAACTGGCAGCAGACGAGAAATAACGTTTAGAAAAACAAACAGTTTTAAGCTTGCAAAACATGTTTCGGATGACCAACATCCATCTTCAGTTGCAAATTATACAAATGAACAGCTAGTCGGTGTGACAAAAAGCGCACTTTCTTAGAATATATGAATACTAAATAGCAACATGAATATGAAGCACTAGAAAATACAGTGGTTAGAAAACAATGTGTATTGTAACACGGAAAATTAAAGTGAAAGTGTTAAATTAACATGATTGACTTGCTTGTTTAGTGAGGGTTTTTCCCACCAGATGTGTAAGGTGTCCTTGATTTTCAGTTGCAAATGCGCGGACGCGGTGTCAAAGAGTGAGAAGCAATTNACAAATGAACAGCTAGTCGGTGTGACAAAAAGCGCACTTTCTTAGAATATATGAATACTAAATAGCAACATGAATATGAAGCACTAGAAAATACAATGGTTAGAAAACAATGTGTATTGTAACACAGAAAATTAAAATGAAAGTGTTAAATTAACATGATTGACTTGCTTGTTTAATGAGGGTTTTTCCCACTAGATGTGTAAGGTGTCCTTGATTTTCAGTTGCAAATGCACAGATGCGGTGTCAAGCAAGAGTGAGAAGCAATTATCTGAGCACAGAGCTTTGTATGTTTCTGACTCATTGATGTGCTGAAAGATGTGCGAGTTCCTATCGGATGTTAGCTTGCAAACAGGTTCCTGGTGAGGACGGAAAAAATTTTGGCAAGCGCGAAACAGAAGAATTTGGAGAGTAAAACGATCGGGGCAGGGACAGGGGAGCCTGTAGACTTTGTTTTTGAAACCTCTAAAAAAATTGCTATAGCACTGCCAAATGGCTCCACTCCACTAGCTTCTACTTAAAATTCCTCCTTGTAACAGAGCATTAAGTACCCTCCAGAATCATTTGTGAAATAACGAGAGGTCAAGAGATCGAAACTTAAAAAGAGAATGGCAAATGCACTATTGTAACGAACCGTTGGAGTCGCATAATTTTCAAAGATCTGTCAAATATTCATCTCAAAGATGTCAACAATCAGCGATTTAACCAATCATATCATGATACCAGGATCTGGTATCATAGAACAGCGGCATCAATAGAATGTCTACAGGCTTCTTCGCTTTGTTCGGGCTCACTGGGAGCCTGTTTGCAGGCTAATCGGATGTTAATGTTAAATGTTTAACAATTTCATTTTAATTTTCCGTGTTACAAAACACATTGTTTTCTAACCATTGTATTTTCTAGTGCTTCATATTCATGTTGTTATTTAGTATTCATATATTCTATGAAAGTTTGCCTTTATATCACACTGACTAGCTGTTTATTTGTATTTGTAACTGAAGATGGATGTTGGTCACCCGAAACATGTTTTGCAAACTTAAAACTGTGTGTGTAGTGAAATTGCTTTTGAATGTGAGTATGTGTATCATGTATTATTTGTTGTGGTAAATAGCCAGCTACAGTACTTGATGAATAAACAATAAATTCTGTGTTTCATTGTCCAGCACCATGCTGAAGTATTCCTCGGGGCAATGGATACAACCTTCCTCTTGGCCTATGCTGTGGTAAGCTATGTACATGTAGATCTTTGTCAATACATTATATTAATTAATACGAAAATGGTGGAAGGGGGTTATCTTTGTAGTTAGCTTTTATACTGCAGTTAACGAGGAATTTATGAGAAGCTTTAAAGCCAAAAAAGAAAGGAATGCAATTATGTGGCATCAAAGTACAAGACATGACATGGTAAATTAAACAACCGTAAGAAACATCTGGTCCCTGGCCTCAAATGAAATCTCTGTACACATTGATTTTGTAATGTTATCATATTTTGCTCTTTGCCATTTGGAGAATTTCCCTATCTTGTGATAGGGTGATTTTTGTGAAACTCAGAAAACTGTGAACACTAGAAATACTTGTGGAATGTTGTTGTATGGTGAGGAAATAGCCAATTAGGTGTGAGAAAACAAACTGCAAACAGCAATGGTAATTAGTTTGTTGTTTTGAGGTTTCTTCTCATCTCCTGAACTTTATTGTGATCAGTCAAATGTACACAGTTGACCTGTCAGAATCAAATCAAAGTGTTCATGGTTTTCTGAGTTTCACAGTAAATCAAGGGAGCGGCGAAACGTTGGTAACACCTCCTTGTAAGTGAATAGTACATATATTAGAAAACAGACCTAAGAAAATTTGCGGCCTGATTGGTGAAAAACCATTTTTCTATAACTCGATAGAAACACAGAACTAGCACAAGCTGTTGATGTGATGATGGCGTGAGCAAAGAGAATTTACATTTTGATAATCAAAGTTAACAAGTTGTTTTCCTTTTTTT